CGACAGTACCCGTTGAGAAGAGAAGAAAGCGTGACAACATCGGGCTCATAACCAAGTTTCATCATCTTGCCAAGAACAGCTAAAGCAAGAGAGATTTGAGAGCGTCGGCAAAAGCAGTTAATCAAAATATTGTATGAATAGAGATCATATGAAATCCCCAGATTTTGCATCTGCTCGCCGAGAGAGATGACAACATCGAACTTCTTCATCTTAGCAATAGCACTCAACAGTTTACTGAACTCAATAATCGAAGGAAAGGGACGAGACTTGACCATTTCATTGAACAGAGCAACAACATCATCTAGCTTCAAATCGAGTAACGCATTTCTACTCAATTTCTGTCTGTAATCATAACTACTCTTACCAGAGAGAGCTCGTCTCCAGCAACAGACACATTTCTCGAAATGACTCCGACGAAGAAATCTCTTCGCTATCATCGATTCTATCGCAAACCTCATTTTTCTCGAATGGCTTCTCAGGTGATTTAGGTTTCTTCTCAATCACGAACATAAGTGGTCTAGTTAACCTGAAACCGGTTTAGTTAATTGGGTAATTGAGTCTTGCCGGTTTGCGTATTCTTTTCTTCTTTTTTTCTTTTTTTTTTTTTTTTTTTTTTTTTTTCTTTTTTGGTTTGTTGTCTGATTACTTCATTACCTCATTTTTTCTTTATTTATTTCAAAGATCCTTTTGTCAATTTTACTCATTTTCAATGTAACAATTCAGAATTTTTATTTTCTCATATTTTCAAATTTTGAAGAGAGGAAAATTTTCTTACCGCAAGCCAAACTTTTACAAAATTGTGGGTAATATATTAATGTTGACTTAAAAATGAATTCAAGTCAAATGTTGAAGGTTTTCTTTTATCCTTTAAGAAGCTCTTTTCCTCAAAACATCTGAAAATTTTATGAAAAACAAATAATTTCCTTGATCATTTCGATTAAAAGATAGATCCCATTCCACTGAATAAACAATCAAAACAAACGATTTAAGTGTAAGTTCCAAGATACCACCACTGTGAGTCTGTGATGATGATCCCTTGACGAGTAAGTTTGATTGCATCACACAAGTGTTAAGTGCTTACAAACAGAGTCTCATCTTTCACATTTTGTATTTACATATAAAGAAATTGTTGTGGTACGTACATAAGTTTGGTCGTGAGCATTGACAAGAGTAAATCTTCTAAAGCAGTGGTCAATTCTGTCTCTACTCTGACCTTGCCTTCCCTGCGAGTTCTAGTGGGCAATAAATTGTTCATGCTTGCCCTTCGGTTCACTCAGTTCATGAGTTAACCATTCATTCCCCTCGAAGCAAAGCACCTGAAACCATAGAGTATTCAATAACACGACAAATTTTGAAAATCACCACAACTGCAATTTACATAACTTTATCACTTCAGATGCCAAAAGTCTCAAAATTTAATCAGATCCGAACCAAATGATCACATTCTGCAAACTTACCCCATGTTCTCTCATTCGGAGAAATCCTTTACAATCTCAAACTATTTTAAGATCCACATTTACAAAAAGCTTTTGTCCAATTTCCCATCATGTAACATATCAGTGGCCAAGCCAATGGATGAAGCTTCTCCAGCAAACTCGCAACTCTTCATTTCTTTAATGAGTTCAGCTGATGCGGCTTTGTCACCATCTCTAAGACATGCCCTGATCAGTGTATTATATGTACCGCTATCTGGAGGAGGCCCATCTTGTTTCATTTTTTTTAGCAAGGCATAAGCTTCCTGGTTTAAACCGTTCCTACACAAGCCTGAGATCACTGTGTTGTAGGTTATAACATCAGGCTTCACTCCTTTAAGGCTGAGGCTACAAAATAGACCCCAATCATCTTCCACCTTCCCATCCTTGCACATCCCTTCAATCATAATATTATATGTGAATATATCAAGTTCCATTTCACTCTTCTGCAAATACTCGAATACCACCAATGCTTTCTCTAGCCTCCCGTTATTACAGAGCCCATCTAACAAAATGTTATAAGCCCAAAGATCAGGAGAGACACCAAAAGATTCCATTTGACTAAAAGTTTCTTGAGCCATATCACAATCTCCAGCTTGAAATAACCCTTGGATAAGAGTGTTGTAAGTGACTATGTCTCCAACCAATCCTCTTTGAGACATCTCCCGGAAGAGTTTTAGACCTTCGTCTACTCTGTTAGCCTTACAAAAACCATTTATAAGTGTATTAAAAGTTACTACGTTTGGGAAACAGTCCTTCCGAATCATCAACTCAAACATCTGCTTGGCCTCCTCTAAGCGATCATGCATGGAAAGTCCGTTAATCAGTGAATTGTGAGTGAAAATATCAGGATCTATAGACCTTCCGATCATCTCCTCGTACAATTTCTCAGCCTCTATAAGCTTCCCCTTCTTCACAAACGCATCGATCAGTGCGTTGAAAGTTACTACATTTGGGTTGACTTTCCTCTCAATCATATCACTACGTAGTCGAGAGGCATCACTCCATCTTCCGTAATTACAAAGACAACTAATAAGGGAGTTGTAGGTAACAACGTTTGGTCTAATGCCTTTGTTCTCCAATTCATTGAATAGGTCAACAGCATCATCGACATGTCTGTATTTGCAGAGACCATCGATAATTGTGTTGTAGATTACAACATTTGCCTTTAATTTCCCAGCTTCAATCTTCTTGAGCAGATTAAAAGCCAAGTCAATATCACCTCTCTTACATAATCCATTTACAACCACAGCATAAGTAACTAAGCTTGGTTGACAACCTTTTACAACCATTTGACCAACTAAAGCCACCGCTTCTGAAACTTTATTGTGGAGTAAAAGACCATGAATCAAAGTTGTAAATGTGACGGTATTAGGTTGATACCCCAGTACGACCATTTGATCAACCAAAGCTACAGCCTCGGATATCCTCTTACCGTGACAGAAACCATTGAGCAGCGAAGAAAGCGTAACAATGCTGGGCTCATAGCCTAGTTTCATCATCTTCCCAAGAACAGCTAAAGCAAGAGAGATTTGAGAGCGTCGGCAAAAACAGTTAATCAAAATATTGTATGTGTAAAGATTATGTGCAATTCCTAACATTTGCATCTGTTCGGCCAGAGAGATTACGACATTAAACTTGTTCATCTTAGCAATGGCACTCAACAATTTACTGAACTCAACAATGGAAGGTAAAGGACGAGACTTGACCATGTCACCGAACAAATCAACTGCATCATCTAACTTCATATCATAACTGTGACCAGAAAAAGATCGTCTCCAGCAACGGAAACCGCAAAGAGGAGGATTACCTTTCATCAAATTATGTCGATGGAGAAATCTCCTGCACGTAATCGCAACAGATCTCATCATCCTCTTGATTGCTTCGAAAATGGCTTCCCAGGATTCTCTAGGGAGTGAGTGAAGAGATCAATTAGCAAAATCCAATAAACCCTATAATTGATAACAGTCGGTCGGTTTAGTGTCGATTCGGTTACAGCTGGTTTTCTTAAACCGGTCATTGCTCTTTTTTCGTTTTAGTCGTCTCTAAGCCGAATTTTTCATTTGATAATTAAGTCTCTGAATTGGATTTTATCAACATTGAGTCTGAGTTTGTAACTAATAATAACTTTTTTCTTTTGAACTTTATTTAGCAACAGTCATATTCTGCGAAATTTCCAATTGAACCACTCCGGTCTAAATAAACCGGACAATGGATGAAGAAGTCCTTGGTTAGTAGTGACTAGTGACTTTTAGTGTCACCATTAGGCATAAAATGCAGCGTTTTAATTACCACAACCTCATATTTCAAGCTAAGAAATTATCTCTCCCCTCTTGTAAAGTAACTACAAGGTTGCTCCATTCGTAAGTTTCATACATTGAAGTCATTTCTTGCTGAGTAAATCATTAGATTTCGCACCATCATGTTTGCCGAAGCCTTTACAGATTCCTCGGATTCCATGTACTGTACCATTAACCTACAGATGGAACAAAGGAAAAAAAAATACACTAATTCAACAAAAACTCTACAGAAAACACAACTGAGAAAGAAAAAAACAAACCAAGTTATTTTATATGAACCCAAAGGAACTAGAAATCTGTCTGAACAATCTCATTCAAATTAAGAATTACAAAAATACGTTCCGTTAACAACAACCAAATCAACTCTGAGATCTTCTTGAAAGGAAGATCTTCTTCTGATACTCACCATTGATTGATGTTGTGTTAAAATACGCAAAACAGCAACCAAATATTCACACATGTAACATAAGGACTGTGTTGTTTTAAGAAAGCATGTCCAAAAAGCTTTTGTCCAATCTCCCATCATACAACATATTAGTCACCAAACTTATTGTTGAAGCATCTCCTGAAAACCCACAAGTCCTCATTTCTTTGATGAGTTCTGCCGATGCCGCTTTGTCACCATCTCTAAGGCGCGCCCTGATCAGCGTATTATACGTACCGCTATCTGGAAGAGGCCCTTCTTCTTTCATTTTTCTGAACAGGTCATCAGCTTTCTCCTTTAATCTTTTCTTACACAAGCCTGAGATCATTGTATTGTAGGTTACAACATCAGGCTTCACTCTTTAAGGCTGAGGCTACAAAA